TACATCGTAGATAAAGCCTCTAAATCCTCCATTACTTTATCTAGTTGCTTGTTTAGCTTTTCTCGTGCCTCTCTTACCTGACTGCGATTAGGTAAGTCTTCTTCCAGTAACTGTAGAAGTCCATGTCTTGCTCTCGTGAAAGCCGCTTTGCTTCTTGACTTGGATTGTTTTTGCCTCTCTAAAGCGTTGTTTCCTTCGTTAGATCTTCCTCCGACTTGAGAGGTTTCGTTTCTGTCTTCGTCGTCGCTGTAGAATGCTCCTTTTCTTCTTATATTCTTTTTCCTACCCATCGGTTTTGCTTGAGTTTCCACTTGTCGTCTTCTTATTCTAACCTCGCTCTGCTACCAATCTGGTTTCGCGATAAACCTTGAGATCAATTTTTCCCTTTAACCCTTTATTTTCTTCGCACTTGTGTCGAACGTACAATTCACGATAAACTCTGAACACACACTACAGCAACTTCCTATATAGTCTTTTACAATCCTCCTAGAATGTTCTAACATTACATTATAGAAGTTTCCAGAAATTACGATAAAGAAGTCAAGCTTAATCTATAAATAGACATCTTATAATCCTAACTTACTAGAACTTTCTATAACGACTAATCAAGAATGTCCTGGAAAATCTAGAATATTCTATAAAACGTGCTTATAATCATTTCTTCTGTCCACATATTTTTGCCAGCTTTGTCATCCTCAAACTTGATGTAAATGATAGTTGGTTTATGTGTATTTTGGTTAACATCAATTTTAATGACAGTGCCTATTTGGCCATTAATCAGKCTATCTGTAATGTCAATGTTGTTTGTCAGCATTACCTTAGCACCTACTTTGACAAAGATATCATAGTCTAGTCCACCTGTTTCAGATCTTCCTTTTGATAAAATTCTATCAATGTCAGTTTGAGAAACATTCTTAGGATACTGGTCTATTGCTCCAAGTTGAAATACTGTTCCAGGTAATTGCTCTAGTTTATTGTTGTTGTGCTCATTGACAGGCCTGTTTTCAGCAAATATATGAATAGCATCTGAAGGATAGTTCTCATCTGTTGGGTCTACTGATCTTGACTGAATGCATTTAATATCTTCCTCAGTTTGGGTAGCAGTACGAAATCTGTTTAACATCTCAGCAAATGGCTGGTCATCTTTTTGTCTCATAATTTCAGTGAGCTCTAWCATTGTGWAGAGATGCCAGGGGTGACACAGGTTATGTGTATCACAGTTGTAGTTTTCAAATACTGGTTTTCGTCTTATCGGCGGTAATTGATACATATCCCCTACAGCAATGATGCTTATTCCAGCAAAAAGCTTAGAGGCAGGTGTGCCAAATATTTCTCTTAGTCTTTGATGAATATGTAGTAATGTAGTATTACCAACCATAGAGATCTCATCTATTATAATAAGCTTTAATTCAGATAAGAAGAGCCTCATTTGTGTTCTGTTTTGGTCTTTGAGTGGTTTTAAAGTAGCACCTGTTTCTTTTGGAATTCCCAGAGCTGTATTTATGGTTGTACCATGGATATTTATTGCCGCAACACCAGTTGGAGCCATTAGAAGTACTGATGGCAGTTCAGGATTCATGGGTGCATGTGTGAAAGTCTTTGTTACAGCATGATATATTGTCTTAATCAAATGGCTCTTGCCAGCCCCTGCACCTCCTGTGATAAAAAAAATATATTTCTTTGACTTCCTGTGGTTTCATGCTGTTCATGTTTTTCATTCTATTTCTACACCAGGAGAGCACATGATCAAATGCATATCGCTGTCTACTGTTTAAAGATCTTACACGCTGGCGTAGTTCATCATCAGAAATAGATGTAGGCTGAGTATTATGTACTTATTGACTGAGTGGGAGGGCCGGACGGGAAAATATTTGGCTCGAGGTCATGTCGTACGGACCGAGCGCAGCGAGGTCCGTACAAATGACCAAGAGCCAAATATTTTCCTGTCCGGCCCGACCCAACTCAGTCAATAAGCATTTTATCATATGACCCAATTTTTATCGTAAAAGAAGGCTGAAAGATCTTGCTAAACTTGATAAATACAGCGCGCTTAAACGAGAACCAATAGGAGAATTCCTTTTTATTTGATTGAAAAGAAGCCATTTAACAGTCACTGTAAACACGAGGCACATTTCAAGAAGTAAAATTGTTTTTAATACATTGAAAGTTTTAAGTTGTTTTAATACAATTCGCAAATAGCTATTTGGTCAAAAGTCGGGAAAAAATAGCAGCTTGGGAACTCAAGAATGTCTATGTCAACTCTAAGTGTTTTCATGGACAAATTTCAACGTTTTTAGACTTTTAGTCTTCTTCATCTGACTCGATCATAAAACGACGTTTCTTGGGTTTGACCAGACACGAACTAGAGCTTTCTTCATGGCCTGAAAGAACAATATTCTGAATGTTCAATACTCCAATGTTTGCTCCCCCCAAAAAAGAACCTGCAGCGGCAGTTGAACTTGTAGTCGGTTGCGCTGGGAGACATGATTGCTTGCTGCTGGCTTCGTGCTTGACGTTCTCAACACCACTCAGTATCTTCGACATGTTTCGTTGTTGGCTCTCAGAGGCAACCGCATAACTGTAGAGGCTTTTAAGGCTCTTATGGCCACTCAGTTGAGCGACAATGTTGTGTGGAACACCAGCATCCAGGAGTGTTGTGATACCAGTTTTACGTACGGAATGGTTGGTAATTTTACCGGCTTTTGACTTCGTGAACTTCAAATCTTTTGTTGCTTGAGACAGAAATTCGCCAATCTTGTTCTTTCCCATCGGTCTGTTTAGGAACCAAACTTGATCATTTGGCTTCCTTCTATGATTTATAGCAAGAAAAAACGGACTTTCTGGACTTTTGGCTTCTTCGGGACGCCTGTAAACAAACTGCTTATAGCAGGCCACAGGACATTTCTTGTCGCTGCTCTCATAAGCTCTTGGTCGGAAAGCTCTCTGGTGTTCATTTTCATCGCCGTGTCTGGTTTTAGTTTCTCTTTCTTGGAACCACTCTACATACTCTTCGCCATTTATTTCATCTTTCTTCAAAAGTACGTCTCCAAACTTCAGCTGTCTCGCTTCGTGTCGTGCTCTATGAC